TTCTAACAGCTGCCTTTTTGCCTATTGAACAAGTTATCTCTGGCGCCTCGGGCCATAAATTTGAATATATAGACATCATTCTGAAAATGATACTAGATCTTACGCACTCTTTGGAAGGAGTCATGTTATAAAGATCATCTCATTGCTAAGCATTTATACATCATTTCAACTCAAGTTTTTTTTAAACACAAAAAAATGCGGATGATGTTCTTTATTAAGAGAGTTACAATAAATCCCCGCCCCCTTCCCCCTCCAAAAAATAATATTTCAATTTAATCCCCTTAAATACCTAATCGGAAGCTGTAATGAGATTAATGTTAGGAAAAGGAACTAGACTGTGTACATGTTAATGTATTTAGGCTATTTTCCTTCTAATGATTGGTCTTAAAAATCTGATTGTAGTGTGCATAGAACATCGAACGTAGCAGTGTGTGTGAAAAAGTGTCTCCAGTTAATTGAGTGCGAAAGCGCTAGAACGACTAGACACTTAATAAAGTATTTTTAGACAAACATTTTTTAAATATTCTACGTATATAAGGCACATATTTATTACATGAATATAGCACTGATCTCTAAGTTCAATGCTCAAAGATGTTTGACTCTATAGTACTTCCCCTATCTCGATTATACTTATCCTTGACACATGTGAATTTATTGTCACAGTACCATTGTTATTTAACAAGCGAATTCTTTCACAAAACTTCGATTCAGTTATCTAACGTCCCCCCTCTTTATAATTTACATGACAAAACGTTTCGGTCAATGCGTTAATACGAAAGACCCACACCCAAAAAACCCCTTACAATAACCACTCAGCTACCACGTTCGTTCAAGAAATCACTCGTCTATAAAACAATAATTGGAATTGCTATAATGACTTATAATGACGATAAAGCGATTATCGTTGTCGACAATTACAAACAGTTATCGCTGTTATAACTGACGCGTACTGACGAGGGATGGCGTTCATTAATATTTACAAGCAGCATAGTAGACGCATTCTTATACTCATATTTAAGACCGGTTTGATAATAGAAGTAAGGGGTCAAAAGAGGGAGATTCGGCCTCCCGCTAACAGGGTGTTTCAGTGATCATGAAGCATTGTTTGTAGAGCAGTTGACAATTGCAAGTACCACGGGTTCGGCATGCCGACCTCCTACTTATAAATTATACCAATTACACCGGGATTTCTATAAAGTGGCTTGTTAGAAGTTAACTGCTTTAAAGACCTGTAATTACGATATCTTCGCTATTAAAGAGACGTTCATGCATTACCCTCATCGAGGCGCTATACAAAGACATCAGTCTCTGGTTATTGCAGTTAGAGTTATTTTTCGAAATGGATATGTTTACACTAGGATTTCAGATTTCTTGTTCAACAAAAGAGGTGCTTTACTGGTACAAACAAGACAAAACCCTGCGCCCTTTTGTTTGCCGAGCATCCATATACCCCATTAAGGTATATAATGAGTTGATGAACCGTAACGAGACTTAATATCACTATATCCATTAGCGAGATGAACAATAGAAATATCTTTAGAAAACCAGCGTGTTTTTACAGTTTTAGCCGGATTTCGCAACACCTTTTCACGCAGAAATCACGTAATTGCATCGAGACACCATTAATTTCTCAAAACATATCTGAAAGGTGGTTTTTAAGTTAATATGTGTGAGTTCGGAAGTATGTAAAATAAACATCCAAAGTGGTTGTCATACTTCATAGTTAGGTGTTTGAGGTCAAGCTAGGCTGAGTATCCGTAATCCTCTCAAAGGTAATTATATGCGATTTCTTACTTAGGGGCCATTTACCAATTAAGAATAAGATGTGTGAAAAATCAAGACAATAGTTAGGAGTTATCATTATTGTGGTGAGTTAGGCACAAGATTTATGTCTCATTCCTAAGCACTGCTGTGGTCGCGGCACATTTCTAGTAGAACTTGAGAAGTAAAGTCTCTTCTCTCTCATTAGGAAATCAAGATTTGTAAGAAAAATAAAAGATACAAGAAGAAAAAAAGGAACTCTTCTGGAAGTGCTAATTGGGACTTAATAGAGCCATTACATTATTATCATTAATCATCCAMGTTCATAATGAATAGGATGCTACTTACGACACTCATTAAGAGCAAAGTAAACCAGCCGTGTTTACTTATCACGTACATCAATCCAATTATTTAATGAGGTAATAGAACTAAATATTTGGATCGTCTTAAGTACAATAAAGCTGGGTTGAAGGACAATTTACTGGAATGAAGACAAAAAGCATGCAGCACATTTTTGTTTAAGAGAAACCGCAGCGGAAACTAATGGCCTCTACTGTTAGATCAATAATCCTGATATTGTTAGCACTATTGTTTGTGAAATATTTACTATAGACTGGTAATCTTAAAAAAGTTCTAATGAGCTGAGAATGTTTTTGAAGGCATCAGATCCAAGTTTATGAAAACACACTGAAATTTCAAATGATCTCTTGTAATTCTTGCATGATGTACGGATCTTTGACTCCGTTTTGTTACGTTATTTCGTTTCGTTTTCTTTTTTATAATTTTAGGGGAAAAAACCCGTTTAAATCTAAAGAATAAAGATCAAATAAAGTGACGAAATCTTAGGCAATTTTCCACAATTATTAAGCAAGTAGAGCATTTCGTGTCATTCGTATCATCACTTGGATAATGTTGAATTATTTTTTGTTTTAAAAACAAACTTCAGCATTTCTCGTAATAATTAGCTGTAACCACTTGTCCTTGATCATTAGCACATACAGATAACTATCTAGATAAGAAAAAATATATACAGAGCGATTTATCACCAAGATAGCTAAACAATAGTGAGTCCCTTTACGGGCTGAAAAAACGATGTTCAAGTTGGAATCCTTTTTTAAATTTTAGTTCCAGTCTACATTGCCTTAATTTCTGCTTTTTTGTATCACAGTATTGAAATTCCCTCTTCTACGAGACAAGTTTTTCTGAATGTGTCTTAGAAATATAAAAGTGACTTAGCCAATTGTAAACAGATGGCATAAAGGTAAAATGGTGATATAAACATGGATATTTGGGATTTTTTAACCTTCAAACAGTACATTTTTCGATCAAAATTCAGTACTGTTTTATCAAGAAGTCAGTGTTTTTTGTCGAGGTCGTTTAACTTTATTTAACGCGCCGTTGTATGGGATGTAGAAAGGAAGGAAGGAAGGAAGGAAGAAAGGTAGGAAGGAAGGAAGGAAGGAAGGAAGGAAGGAAGGAAGGGAGCAAGGAATTTCTAAATGAAAATAGAAAACAAAGGAATAGGGAAAGAAGATGCAAAAATGGAATATGGTGATAAAATAAAGAAAAGCGAAAGGACCGACACAAGTAGGCGAACGAATGAATAAATAGACCCATTCCCCAAATTAAAGTCAATTTTGCTGCAGATGGAAAAACTAATCATCTTCATAAACAATTTTATACGTTTATATTAACCACAACCCCGTCAACATGATCTATTATGGCTCAAGGTTAATATATTTTGCTAAGTCTTTGGGTGGTAAGTTGAGTAAATTAGACCGTTTATGAGACAGATGACTTGGCCCAAAGGTAATTATTGCAAATATGTTTCAATTGGCGTCACAATCTTTTTCTGTTTTCTTTTTCTAAAGTAGAAAATTTTAAAGAAAGCAAAAATAGGATAAACTGTTAGGGCAGAAAGCAACACCTTTTTCGTGGAATCGTCTATCGCCTTTTAATTTTAATTCTATTTTTATCAAATTTCATATGTTTAGTAAAAAAGACTAAGCAAGCTCAGAAATAAAACAGGATGATAAAAATTGCAGTATTAGTAAAGTTATAATTCCCTTCTTTAAAATACAAAAGATTGAAAAATAATTTCATTTAATTTTTGGAAAATCTTCCTGTAGTATAAAGTCACCTAATTCACCTCAATTGTGAAAATAGCACCGAACTACTATTATGAACAAGTTTAAAGGGAAGAAAATTATGAAATCGAAGTGCAGATTTTTCATCTCAATTTTTTCCTGTAACAATGCAGAAGAGCGAGAATTATGAGCACTGTGCCTAGTTTATAGTAAAGCTCTTGGTGAACGTAACTCAAAATAGTTGTGAGTGGAAAAAAATCGAAAATATTAAGTTAGTTAAATATAGCGAATTTTATTTCTAACAAAAAATTTAAATTTAAATGAAAAAMCAGGTTGGTTTTTGCTTGTTTAACTTTGTTTTATTGTCTTTTTTTTATTCATGCCTTAAACGACTTTACTGGTTAGGCAAATTCTAAAGATGAATGTCCAAGAACTAACGATTATGTAAAGAGGTTAAAGATGTCACACTTCGCACTGAAACTCGACAAAGAAAAGAATAGAACAGAGAAAAATAAAGATCACTAGAGGCAATCTTACGAGCAGATGTCAATGTCTCGCTCGATTGATTTACCAACTCAAACCCAAGACAGAATTCTGAAAAAGAGTCATGATTCATTCTCAAGCAACTTTGACCAATTGTGCGTGATGCCTTCGTCTTTGTTGAGATCCATTCTTGTAAATCTTAGACACATAGAAGCTACGAAACTAACCCTTTGAAAAGACAATTGAAGGAAGCGAGGATTTGGCTTGAGTTAGCTACCCTTTGACAGTGAAGTGATTCCAATTGGACACTCTACTCTAGGCACCGATGAGTCTCCAACATTTGACCCGTGTTCTTCCCTAAGGCTTTGCTAAGATTCGCTCCATATAACAGCCACTTTGAATTCAGCACCGCAATATAATATTCTTAAATGATCATATCATTAAAGAAACGACTAAAAACCTGCCATCAATCCTCGTGAAATTTCCTTAACATTATTTCCCACAGTGGGAAATGTGCATCACTGAAGCAAAAGTCAAAATGAATGCAAAAAAGTGAATCAGTTGTCGTAGACTGACGGACTAAAACGAGATCAAAATTCACCAAAGACCCTAAATCTCCACCAAAAAACACTGCAAACATTTAAACGAATTTTACAACATAAAACACAATTATAACTTTCAGTTGAAGCTTTATTAAGTATTTATATACATTTTCTTTTCTCAACAAGAGAAATAAAGTTGTTCCAAGCGGTAAAAGTAGGCTAATTTCCAGTTGTTCACTAATATATTTATGCAATGCGTTATCTTCCGAGAACGAGAGCAAAATTCGGTTGCATAGAGTTAAATAATAATTCAGTATATACAGGAATTTTTTTTCCTAAGTCCATTTTAACTAATTTTCGGCATTTAAGAACATGTTGGTTTAATTCTCGTATAACTTACAGGAAATGCTCATTAAAATCGGAATGATGATATAAAGAATGATGATCTCTATACAGTTTTTAAATATTTGATTTGATTTCATACTTTGTCAACTCGATTTTCATACTCGTATTGTTGACTGAGTTTAGTTTTGATACGGTTAGATTTTGACGACGAAGACCTACTATATGCAGTCAGCTGGGTTAACTCAGTCGGCTGAAAAAACTTACTCTGTATCCGACTGCCCTTAACAATGCTTTGATTTTCTGATCTTAGAAATCTTGAAAGTAATCTCCTTATGGCTGTACTGTCTGTCGAGAATACAAGATTCCAATACCTTTTTGTTCTAATAATCTAGCAATATATAATGTGTGTGTATTTGATATATTCTTGAGATTGCATACCTTACAGTCTCTATATCATTCTTAAACACGTCTAAGTAATTAAAGTTTGTCTCTCTAAATAATCTTCCTTAATTCATCATCGAAGGATGTGATAAAGCATTTGAGGTATAACCTTTTATGCCGGATGAAGGTATGCTCCAGGGATCGACTGTTTGAGGAGTATGTTGCTGAAGTGGTTTGTTGTTAACCATCGTTATGACACTTGGATCTTTTGTTGCGTTGCTGACTGACCAAGTTGGAGAAGACGATGGCTGTCCATCTGACGTGTTTTCTTCTTTGATGCCATTGGTCTGGTTGTCTTGTACCACTTTTAGGGTCTTCTTGAATTTGGATCTCCGATTCTGGAACCAGATTTTGACTTGAGTTTGAGTAAGTCCAAGATATGCAGCAAGGTCTGCTCTATCGGGCAAAGCCAAATACTGTGTCTTTTGAAACCTCTTGTTCAGTTCCCTCAGTTGAAAGCTGGAATAAATAGTGCGAGGCTTGCGAACCTTTTTGCCTTTGCCATTCAGTCTAGGCTCGTCACATTGGTCTTTATCTGTAATATGAAAAAAAATTGGTTGAAGATGATGAGATGTTGTTTTTATTATCAAAACAAAATTGTATCAATGATATTCACTTCACAAGCATTTGAACAAACCGGAAAGTACTGTAATATGCATCTAAGTGATGCTAAGTCGTGCAAAACAACTAAATCACTAGATTTTACCTGTCCGCACACGACTTGATTAATGTTCTATTAAGTGTTATATGAGATGCATTAACTGCTAAAGGAGATGGTTTCACCATTACAAAATCCTCGCCCAAGGATCACCAGAAGTCCCGCGATTTCCCTTTTTTTTTTTTTTTTTTTTTTACAAATACCTCGTCATAATGACAAAAATTAGCAGATCATAAGAGAATTTAGAACCACTTGTGTTGTACCTTCATGAATGAGATCGTGGCTTCCTGGATATGGCTGCAGAGGTGCTGCTGATAAGTAAGGGTGATGAGATAGTGGATGGTGGTTCAACATTTGCATTGGAAAACTGTTTCTTGTATTACACGGTAGTCCATACTCGGGAGCAGCTGGTCCATGGTAGTACCGAACAGAGTACGGATTGTAGTTTGCAGAAACAGGATTGTAGGAATTATATCCATGAGACACGGGTGTACTCGAGAGCTCCATAAACGCTGACTTATAGGCTGGGTTGACAGTGTCGAAGCGGTCCTGAGAACAGTTTTGGTTCATGTGTCAGAAGGCGATCGCAGAAGCTCTATTTGTAGACAAACCCCTCACAGATGTCAACGTCAATCTGAGGGCTTTGACCAAGCAAGCTTGAGTGACTCGCMACAGCGGATCAATACCTCTGATCAACAAACATGAGCCACGCGTGGACTTCTGAATATGTATGTCACTAAAGTGGTCGCCTTGGACAATGGCATATGCTAATCTAATTGGCTGTTATGATAATAAGCTACTAATTACATTGTGTTTTATCTTCTAATGACTTTCACACATAACAAAGCGGCTGTCAGAGTCAATGCCTTTATCAACTTTGTATAATTTCGTCTTTGTTTGAAAGTTCGGTAAACAGTACATAGACATATGAGTGAAAGTTGATTTTGTTTGTTTTACTGGGCAGGTTTTGGCGGGGATTTTTGCTCAAATGAATCACAGGCCGTGGCTAGCCGTATTTGATCGTAGTTTTGCAGGTTGTTTTGAAAAAAAAAAACTTTTTACTCCTGAAACTTGCTAAGAACACGGTCCCGTTCAAAGATCATTAACACATGCTTTTTAATTGAACCTAAGTGGCTTTTTTATCATCATTTTGAACGAAAGTGCCGAACTGGGCCTTACTATGCTGCATAGAAGAAAAATACTTCCACTAGACCTAGACCCTCGCCAGCAAAGAAAGGCAGATCCTTGAAAATAGTTACCACAAGGGAACTTCTAAAGAAGGTTTTGTCTGAGCTCAAGCACAAAAGCGTAGCAAAGTGATTACTATAGAAAACACAAGACAATAAGCTTTAGGTGAAGCGATAACGTTTAACCTTGTTTTTTAGACAATATTGTAAAGCATATCGAATGGGTTGTTACCACATTTGAAAATAAGAATCACTACGGTCAATGCAAATGATACCTACTCGACACCAATCCCACGTGTTCGAATAAGGCTATCATGTATATATACATACATATACATATATCCTGTCGGCTGATAGCACACGAATATATAACTATATATATTTATGTATATACTCCTTAACTTGTTCATAAGGCACTACCTTTTGAATGTGAAGGAAAGTTTACAGGTCATGTTACCCACTTCAATGAACAATTTTCGAAAAAGAGAAAAAACACCGTAAGACAGGCCTGATGTATTCACCACCTTTACCAAAACGAACCAATCCGAATACCCTCTCATGGCTCTAAAACTAATTAGATCTCTCTGAGTTTAGACCGCAAGCAAAGATTTGAAGAAATTGACTCAAGAAGTGCTTGAAAATTATAGAAAATTGGGCGCTCAATTCAAAGGCCTTGCTCCCGAGGCGCTATATAATTTGTTCTGAAATTGGCATATGTGAACTGGCTGATCGACAATTTCCCCCAACTAAAGTTAATTTGCTTAGAAGAATTTCAAGTGAATTCATAGAAACTTTTGGTTGATAAAAATAAATTAAATTCGCCACGCGCCCGTTTTTTTGTTTGTTTGTTTGCCAGAAAAATCTTTCTTTCCTTTGAATTTGACATATTAGCTGATAATTATCGATGTATAAGCGGCTACCTATCTCCATACGGTCTCAGCCGGTAGAGTTTTTACGGTAAAATATCAAATCATTGGTAGTGTAGTTTAACCACGTTTATATCTAACTACGAACTACATTTTGGTATTCATAGTTCAATCGAGGAAAAAAATTATAACTTTCCTTGAAGGATAAAATGGCGCAATTTGCGGACCTCAATTGTTTATTGTAAAAAGCCTTTCTTTAAAACTGTTTATTTTTTCTTTTTTATAGTCTGTCTTTGTTTTAATATTAAAAGGGACTCCGAATTTGCACTTTTTATGATGCCACAACAGGGTGCCAAATGATCGATAGCCGTTAGAAAACTAGCAATCGGCTATATGAAAATCGAAAAATAGATTAAAAACCCACCTTTGCCGATGGTTTTTGGGCCTTCAGCTATCTGAAGGTGTTCCAGAAAGAATTTGAATCAAAATAAGGTGATTTTAGTAAGTGTTCTATTCAGCCCTTTTGTAATAAGCCATATTTGAAGTCCTTTTGAGGACGAGTATTCCTGCGGTGCTGGTCATACAATAACTCATGCAGGGACAATTATCAAAAGCGCAGCCTCAATAATGAAAAGCCCAACAAACAATTCAGTCTTGATCGCTCCCGCTTTGAGATCAAAAACAGTGTGAAGGAAGGATTATTACCAAAAAATAACTAGCCAAATTAAACATCTTGTCATTTTTTTAAGTGATCATGCGAATTCGATCAAACTTTGGTAACGTAAACGCTAACTGACATTTTTTTATTGGTTTTGATTGCTTAGTAAGCCAGGCCTTTCGTTTTTTAAATCAGCATTCCCGGATGGAAATCAGTGATTCGATGCGGACATTTGTGTTGGTTTTAAGTTGAAGGAATTTGTAAATGATAGCCATATTGCTCAAGGCAATTTAAAGCTATGACACAAAATGAATGGACTAATCTCACCAATCTTTTTTTCCTTTTGTTTGTTTCTTTCTTTCTTTCTTTCTTTCTTTCTTTCAATTGTGCCTATATTAGGTTTTTTTGTACTTATATTACTAAAATATAAATAAAAGATTATGTAACGTTAATATGTATTCTGATTCAGGAAATCTTAACATTTTAGCATAATTATACCAAAAAATTATTCAAAACTCGGTGAATTTGTGAAGACAATTGCTGTCAATATTACTCTTAATTCACATTCATCATATATTTCATACCATGAAGTCGATAATGCTAGAGAATCGATGGAGATTAATCCGTTAAAGCTTAAAGAAATGCATTTTAATACTGTTTCATTCAACTTCAATTCAACGCCAAAATAAAAGAACTAAATGTCAAGTCATAATTTTATTGAAAATTAATGAATTTTCTAGTTATTGAGCATGGCTTATTTATAAGATGTTTTGAGTTCGGAACAAAATTGATTTTTCCGAAAACATATATATATATATRTGTGTGTGCTTTATGGACCAAGGTTGACTTCTAAGATATTAAGTTATCTCTATCAAAGCCCTTAATATTAAATGCTTTTTTAACTAAAACTTCAGTAAATGGGCGAAAATATAAACAGTTAAATTGCCTTAAAAGGAAAAGGAGTTATATATTATAAAGCATTATGGCCATTGGCTGTGATACATAAATAAAAAGATCGCTGCAATTTACTACACACCAGTTTTTTTATCTCGCTATAAAATATCATTCAACGAAAAAAATACGCCAACCTATAGTTTTAGCTTTTAATATCAATCCACAGATACGATAAAAAATCTAGTTTAAAAACCAATACAAAATTCCTAAATATGAACATTTTTATTTTATTTTTTTATATTTGATTTGGTCGAAGTAATCTTTACTTTTCCACTCCGATTTGAAAAAAAAAAAACATTTCATTTTATTGAATGATTTAAAATCGATTTTCTTATTGGTCCTTTCCCTTGATACAAAACGCTTTATCCTAGACTTCAACCTCTTTCGTTTTTCAGTTCTTACTCTCTCCCCTTTGGCCTGGGTTTTAAACTCCTTGCTTACATGCTTGTTATACTTTTTTTTAATCAAATGGCTTTCAAATGACTCGGTACGATTCAACTGTCTCGAAAATACCCCTGATAATCATTAGAAGTTCTTATCTAAATATAAAAAAGAAAGCATTTTGAAAAATAAACCAGGATATAAAGGTTTCCGAGTCATTTTTCGCTCCTTTTTCGTCTTATTATCATGATTATTATTATGATCATATTGAAAGAAAGTTCAGCAACGCGCCAACACCATGACATTGATTCATCGAAGACCTCGGCCGTGCACAGCTTTGCAGTCGAGATAATTGTTTAGAAAAACATCGGCGATGCTATAGCGAAACTTGTAGGAAACCGTTATGAAATGACCGCTGGTCAGTTGTCACTCAACCTTTGGCGATCTCATTAGTAACCATTCTCTTGACAAGAAGCTTCTGTGTTGATTTGTAAAAATTTACAGCGCAGAAACATTAACTGATTCTGCTAGGATCGGAAAAAAACAATGAAATATTTAAAATTATTACGAAATGAAAATTCATTTTACAAGAAATATGAGGGATATTACAGAACGACGTTCCCGAGTCATGAAATTCAGTCAGCGGTAAAAACTATTGCTGACTGATCAATAAATATGGCCAGCCGAAAGATTTTGAGGAATTTTAAATTTGTCGATCATGTTTTAAAAGTTACCATGTTGTTTTTGTGGCTATTCGGCCTCGTAGAGGTGAAGCCACAGTGTCATCGAGTTGCGTCCGCGTAAGTCGGTCCTGTCCGTCTGTAACACCACAGGAAGCCCAATAGTGCTCAATCCATAACTTCGAACCAATTCCGCATTCTGGACCGAAAGTCCAGTTTTTTTATCATCTAACTCAACACGCACAGTCCAAATCCACTCAATTTTTCTTCTTCAGTTCCAAAACCAGCAAAAAATACCGTATGTGACTAACACCAACATAAATGTTCGATTTCATAAACACTTGACTTTCAAGACTCTGCAGTCGACACATGCGATCGTTTAGCGCCTATTTTTTGATAATGTTATTAAAAGATTTCCACGATTGTGATTCCATATTTTGTCATCCCCATTTCATGATTGACTTTTTTTTACAAAAGATCACCAGACAGTTACTTCTATCCTGCTTCTAGCGAACTGATTTCGGAATTTCAGTGATGAAATTCAAGAATACTAAGGTAAATTCGTGGGAATAGCAAAATACAGATATCGATAGAGTAGATTTGGTGAAAATAAGGAAAATAGAGCTTATTTGTAGCAGTTTGGGTTATAATTATAGATAAACCATTTCAGTGGAACAAGACGGTATTCCCATCAGTAAGAGTGTATATCATCTCAAGAGTCAAATCTTTACCAGCCAATGAAAATCGAATACACCGTACTTTATATGCTGTCAAAACATCGAGGTCTCTAACTAAACCAAGTGCTTGTGCCAGTGTTAACCAGATGGTCACCCTTGCTCTACACTTGTTATGCTCTAGCTGATTTATCATTCTGTCGCTATGCTTTGACCTCTAAAAACTTGAAAGAGTTATGTACTATATGCTTGTGTACGTTTGGCGTC